CGCAGGGTGGAGACAGGGGCTGAATTCGTTTGCCAAATGCAGGACCCCCGCTCCGGGCTCCCAGCTCCAGGGCAAAACCAGGTCTGGGAATGGGATCCTTCCCTGGCGAGGAGGGAGCTGCTTCGCAGGTGCTCTCCGGAGCGTCTTCTCCTCCCCAAGCAGAGGTGCTGCTGCTCCTCCAGCACGCCAAAGCAGCTCTCCCCATGGTGAGCAACCCGGCCCCTTTGTTATATTTAAGGAAGGGCCAGGAGGAATTCCAGGGATTTTTTTTAGCAAGATAAACAGAACTTTTGACCTCTTCCATCAAAAAAAAAAAAGAAGAAAGAAAAAAAAAAAAAAAAAAAGAAGAAAGAGCGAGCAGGCGCTGTTCCTGGTGGGGACTGGGCTGGAGCCTGGGGAAGAGGGTGCTGCTGCCGAGGGGGAAGGGAGACCAGAAGCAGCCTTCCTCACCAAGGAGTTTCTTCCACCAAAGAGCAATGAAGGTCACCAGAGGAACCAAGTAACGCTCGGTGGCTTCCCCAGGGGGAGCAAGGAGAGCTTGGGCAGGGGGACTCAGCTCTCTCTGCCCTTTGCAGGGGGGTGCAGAAGACCCCCAAGCTCAGCTGGAGGGGAAAGAAGGGCTGGGAAGGAACTTACTGCTGAACGGCGGGTTCATTTCTGTCTCCCCGAGCCGGGCTCCATGTCAGGGACGCGCTCGCGCCGCTTGCCTTTCGCTCCCCCGAGGCGGAGGGCAGGACGGGGAGGCTCGCAGGCTCCGCATCCCACCCCCCCCCGGCACACAAAAAAGCAGCAGATTCCCACCTCGCAGCGGATTCCCACCTCGCCTTCTCTCCCCTTCCCTCCCGCGCTCGCTCTCCCCCCTGGCAGAGAGCAGGAGCCGAACAATAGGCGAAAGTCGAGGGATATTTGCTAACTGATAATCTCCCCACGTATTGCAGCCGCCTGTTTTCGCCCGTCTGATAAAGACTGCGGAGCCAACCCCCTCCACAGCACAAAAAAGGGGGAGGACGTTGGGTTTGGGTTATTTTTACCCCCTCCCTTTTTAAAAACTTACCATTCACCTGCTGAGGGGAGTAGGCTTCCGATCCAGAGTCCGGGGGAGAGTCAGGTAAAGTGCTGCAGAGCAACGGGGCAAGAGAAGGGAAGGACATTTTCAACCAGCTCCCAGCACAACCCACAGGTCCAGCACCCTCCAGGCGCCGGGTGGAAATCCCAGCTGCGCCCGCGGCGGATCCCCGTCACCCGGAGCCGGCTGACCAGCCTGGGGCTGCCACAGCTGCCACTGCTGCCCTGCTCCCCACAGCAGTTCCCTGGACCTCCGGAGTGGGGACAGACATGTTGTTGACTTGCCAAGGAGACCTCTGGTTAAAAGAAGCCAACAGGAGCTTACCCGTCCCCCGTGTGCTTCACCGTGGGTGACTGGGAGGCTCTGGGAGAGCTGGGCTGGGACCTGATGGACCGAAGCGAAGGCTGGGGAGCCCACGGGATGGATTCCGCCTTGTGACCTGTACCAACCTGAGCACCACCACGGCTGCGTCGCCCTGGCTCTGCTCCAGCGTCACCAGGAGCAGGATGCGGCCCCGACTGCAGAACGCAACCAAATAAAAGGGGGAACTCTCAGCTGCCTCCTCCAGCAGACCCATGGCTCGGGGACGGAGGAGCAGCCCTGCACAGACCCACCGCAGGGACCCGCTTAGCTCCTGCATCCTTCCTTCACCTGGAGTCACCGCAGACCCCAAGCAGCCGGGGTCTTCAGCCATTTCCAAAGCACCTCCCTTGGAAACGCATCTGAACTGATTTTTTTTCTTTTTTCTTTTCGCAGCCCCTCCTCAGCACGCAGTCGCTGCAGCGGAACCTTGGGCCGAACACATCTTCAGGCCAGGGGAAAATTTCCACCACCCTGGTGCAGAAGTAAAGGACTCACTTGTCTCAGGCAATGGTTCTTCTCCCACAACATTTTGGAGCTCAAGGGCACGGAAAAAGTCGAGGCCCTGCTCCCGGCTAGACTGAGCCATGGTCACCGCAAGCCAAAGCCGCAGCAGAAACGGAAAGGGAGATGGTGGCTCTGGTGTCTGGAGCAGTCGTTGCCCAAGCTCTAGAGAAAGGCTCACTTCATCTGAGTGTCTGCAGTATGCTCTGGCTGGTGGAGATCCATGGCAGGGAGATATCTTGCCTGCCCACTCATATCTGCTCCATCGCTGGTGACCATGGCCTCAGCAAGCCCCAGCAGGTTCCACCAGCCCGGTACCTCGGCAAAGCCTGCTCCATCTCAAACACGGCTGTTCTCCTTCCCATCTCCCAACGTCTCGTTCCTCACCACAAGTGGATTTTCACTGGGGATCCTTTTCCATTCCCCCATCTTACACCGTTAGCTTTGTGAAAGAAAAATAATCCCAGACAAACCAGTGCTTCTTGGATGAAAGCTGGCCACCAAGCAAGCGAGGCCCTCAGGGCTGCGAGGAGCAAAGGTGCAGCACACCACACACACCCCTCTCAAACCCTGCTCCTGATGGCACCCACAACTACAGCTGCGAACCAGGACACCCACCAGGACCTTCCAGCACCAGAGGAGCCCAAGACCCAGTAAACGGGTTTCCAGCAGTAGCTGGAGAGGGATGAGGTTGGGTAACCCCAACAAAGAGCCCTCACCATACTTCCCTCATCCTCCACCTTCACTTGTAGCACCTTTCCACCACTCCCCTCCTACGCCTGGTCTGCAGCGTCTGTCACCAGGCTTACTTCCAGGCTCCTCGCCATGCTGGCCACGACTTCGTACTATACTTCCTATGAGTTCGTCAGGATTTGTGCCCCACCAAGCCAAATTTTGGCCCAAACAAAAGGGCCCGGGACAATTGAGGGAGTCCTGGAGACTGGAAAAGGCCTTGCAGTAGAAAGGTGGATGCTGCCGAAGTCACGTAGGGAGGTAGTGTGGATGTGCCCAGTCCAAGGGAAGGGCTTGTTGGTATCCAACACACGAGATGTTGCTCCTCTGGGAAAGACAACAGAGAAGAGTCACGCTGGGATGCTGAAGAAACGCTGCCATCACAGCTCACCCAAGCTGTCTACATCCAAAGCAAGGTCTCCACCTCCAAGAGCAAGCTATGATCCTTACTCATGACCTCTCACACCCTGGAGAGTGCCAGATACACGCAGAAGAAAGGAACACGGCAAGACAAAGCTGCGTGTAGCCTTCTGCTCACACAGCAAGGGAGAGCTCCCTGCTCTGGGAATAAAATAAGGGCAGGTTTTGTTTAGCTTGTCCCTTTCTGGAAGACCTTTCCAGGTTCATCCAAAGAGCCAAAGTCATCCCAACGGAGCTGCATTACGGCCGAATCATCAGTTCAGCGTGCTGGAGGCTTCCCAATCTGGGAACGGCCGCACCGTGCTTGCTGGTGACACTAGAAGGCACGAGGCAGAGGGAGAGAAGCTTGCAGACATGAGCAGTCCTGGGGCCATCCCGGCCTCCTTGTCCCTCACATCCACCGTCTCCACTGGAGAAGGCACAGAGACTGGCAGGGCGTCACAGCCACCCATCACCCGCACTCCAGAGATGGGTTGGACCACGGCACAGCTCCTCGTGGCGTGACTGTTGCCAACTGCCAAGGCCTCCTGCTGATGAACACGCCGCTGCACGCTTCGGTTTTCATCTGCCCAGCTTCAGATCACCTTCCCGTTTCCCTCCCCTGTGACTGGGGCGGAGCAGCATGGACCAGAGAGGTGCGTGAGGAGGAAGAGACCAGACATGTTCTTCCCGTTGGGTCTCCAGGCAGTAAAGCTTTGAGGACGTCAGTTCCTACCCCAGATACCACTGCAGGGCCGTACCCTCGCAGCATGCCTTGCCTCCCAAAGTGCCCTCTACCGATGCGGTCTCTGTCTGGCCCCTTTGGCCACCGCAGATGGCAGCCAGAGAGCAGGAACCACATCTTTTCTCCTCCCAGGACTCACTGTCCAGTTGAGTCCCTCAGCAATACCCGGTCATCCTCTTCCCCTTCACCAGGTCTGCACCCAGAGCTTGTTGCAAAGGAGTACAAATCCAGTTCAGATGTCATCTTTTTCTTCTCTTGAGAGGAGAATCGACAATGTCAGGCCAAGAGAAGCACATCTCTGCCCAGTTTAGCTAACATCTTCCCCTGGGACAGTCATGGGAACATCCTGGAGACCCAACGTTGTTCCAATTTATTCCGTGTCTCTTCCTTCTTAGAAAACCCACAACGCTACAATATTCTCCCCTCACACACCTGTAGATGTGCAGCATGGATATCCTGGTCACCCAGAGCCAACGGCTCCACCACCACCTGCAGACAGGGGGGACGTTACCCATCCTCTCTCACTCAACACATACAGACAAGACCCACCAAAGAACCTTTCAGGAAACGTCAGGACCTACTCTTGTAAAAAAGCCTCTCTCTAGAAGCGAGGGCTTAGCACAGACTGATGCTGCCAGCAGTGAAGGTACCGTGGGACAAACCACACCACCCCTCCAGGCCCTCCCCAAGCCTGGAGGAGCACTTGTCCCACCATCTGCCCTTGTTCTGCCACCCCAACCCCACTTACCCAGGTGCGTAGGAGGCCTTGGGCTCTGATTTGATTGGAGGGACCACGTTGTTTAGGCAGTGGCCACCAAGGTAGCCCTTGGGCACCACCATGCCATTGTTGTTATTGCAGTTGAGGTGAGCACCGTAGCCGGGGCCGCAAGGGTTGGCCAGGAGAGGACCATGCCGGATTGGGATCTGGTTGCCCGGGGGAGGAAGGTGGAGGGAACCGCTGGAAGCGGGGTTGGTCACACTGGCGATGGAGCTGGCAACGGGCGCGTTGATGGTGGTTGAGCTGGAGGGTTGGGGGTGTGCATAGCTGGCTGAAGCAGGGATGTCAGGGAAACAGCTGAGAGAGAGAGAAGAGGACAACCTCAGCAGAGGGACTTTCTGCCCACCCCTCCCCTCACCAGCCATCCGGCAAAGGGGACGGAGCCACTCAGGTGCTCTGGGACACCCAGAAAAACCAGTCAGCATTGTGGTGGCCCCAACAGGAGCATACAGGGAGGCAGGTCAGTCACCAGGGCTGGTGGGAGTGGTGTGACCCCAAGGGTGCAAAATCCACCGGTGGAGCTGTAAAGGCCAGAAGTGCCCAGGACACCAACCCCAAAGCTCGTGAAGGCAGCAGGAGCTGCTCACCATGCTCCAGCTTCCACACTAGCAGAGAGAAGCTGCTTTGTCACCTCAGCCCCAAAGATCCTGCTCCCACCCCGTGGCCCAGATCGCCTCGGCTGCTGTCCAGGTCTGCTCCCCGCTCCTTCGCCAACGTTGGTGCCCACAGGGAGACCCTTCCCTTCTGCACCCTCCTGTTGCGCTGAGGATTTCATCTTTCACACCGAGCTCCTGGTGCTTGCTTTTCCATTGCTCAAGTCAAGGAAAAGTCTTTTCCAGTGCCCTTGAGAGGGTGAAGAGAAGGGACAGAAGAGGCTGGGGAGATACAAAGGCAAGATGGCAGGCAGAGACAGGAGGAAGAACTGGAAATGAGTGAAGAGCAATAAAGGAGGACTCCAGGAGGGACCGAGGCGCAGCCAGGGTGCACAGTGATTTCTAACTGATTCCTTGAATTGCAGGGCTGGAAGTTGCTCAGCATCTCACCAGAGAAAACAAGAGTGAACACCATCCCTGAAGCAGAGCAAGGGAAGCACTTACATATCTGGTGAGTCCTCCTTGCTGATGTACTCTTCCAGGATGCTGGTGTCGATGTTGGATGGTTCCAGAGCTCCGTTAATGTCGTGGCCTGCGAGGGGAGAGAAGGTGGAAGCATGAGCCATGAGGAGGACACGAAAGGCCCTCGTTTTGCAGGTCAGAAACACCACCAGACCTTTGCAGAGCCAAGAAACAGAGCTGAGAAGATCAGCAGATCCTTCAGTTTGAGGACTGCCACCCGTCCATACCCATCTGCATCCCAGCGTCAAACCAGACGGAGCTGGGACACGGCAGGGTGGTGACACTACCTGGGAAGCTGGACACACGCAGGTGGGGTTTGTCTCCACGCTCTGGCTATGGGACACACGAGCTTCCCGGGGCCACGCTCAGCACACGTGGGAGCAGGGAGCTCACGAGCTTTGGGAGACACACGGCTCCACGGACCACGAGAGCCAGGTCTTGCCCAACCACCACCACCACCTTGGTGCAACAGCTTTGTCAGCGGAGGGCTACGAGGATGAGGAGGGGACCGGAGCCGCCGGCCTTTGCGGGGCCGATGGAGGGGCTCCCCTTTGCAGAGAGCAGGGTGGTGAGCGTGGGCTCCAGGGGTGCGCTGGGAAAGCTGGTGTCCTTCCCTTCAGACCCTTGCCTCCTCTTCGCAGAACACGCTGGAATTTCTCCCGCTGCTGCCATGACAGCTCTGGATCAGCTCCCGACCCCGCAGGAGCCCTCCTCCCTCTCCTCTCCTCCACGGGCAAGCGGTGGACGTCTCTCTCCTTTCTCCTGGAGAGCTTCTCCTCCCCTCTCCTGTTCTGGGGAAGCTGGGCAGGGTTTTGTTGACAGAAAGTGCTTTCTTTATCTGTCTCTGTGAAGTGGGAGTCCGCAGCCCTCCGGGGTCGGTGCCAGCCCTCGGTGCCAAAGCCACTGCCAAGAAAGTGGAAGAGGAGGCCCAGCTCTGCCCACCTCCTCGAGCTCAGATAACGAGGACGACCCTTCCTGAAAGACCCCTCAACTCCACGCCAAAGCACGACGTCCCTCGCCCAGGAGAAGACCCCGACCCCCCCCATG